TCTTGATACCTGGTAGACAAAGTGGCTGTTATTTAAATTTTTTTTTATTTAAAGAGAAAAAAGAAAGGACATAAAAAAAGCAGTAAAAGGGTCCAAGTAATACAGATTATCAAGAAGAAAAAATATACAGTAAGAAATCACTAGTTAATAGGTTACATATTGTCATCTTAGAAACAGTTGTTCACATTATAAAATTAAAGCATATAAAGTGGACATTCATACAGTGATATTGGAGACAGTTCCGTTCAATGATCCAGCAAAAGATCAGTAATATGGTTTTCCATCCTACACACTCAAACATACCTGCAGTTATATCCCTTAGTCCACCTTCCTTTCCTCTCTTTTTTACAATAACAATTACACTTTTGGGGTTTTATTACTCCCACAGTTCTTATTACCTTTTTTGAAGAGAATAAAACCAAAGGTGACTAAGCAAAGCAGAGTCAGAACAGAAGGATGGGCATAGTACATGATGCAAAAATAGAATACCAGGTGATCAAAAGTGGTTACCATTGTGCCTCTTGCTATTTTTAAATTGAGTTGCCTATATCATCAGGTATAATAGAATTGATCAAAACAGTACAGAACAAGACCGATAAAACCTACACTGGAGACTTACAGGACTTCAAAAAGAGATAATAGTCAAACCATAACGGGCATCATAGTATATCTTATTGCCTTCAAAGTGGTTGCCTATACTATTTTAAACTTTTCTTCAGGTCATTCAAATGTTCAGAAAACCTATGAGCCAGCACTCTCACCCTATGTGCTGAACCCCCTCGACCCCATACCTGGAGATTGACTTTCAGGAGGATGGATCCACAAGATGCTTGTCTTCAAGGACCTGCACAGAGAGCTTCTTAAAGAAATTGATCTGAACATAAACAAAAATGTGGAAGTGGGGAATGTTTTATTGGAAGGTTCATTCATGAGAGCACAGTCAGCCCTCTCAGGATAGGATGCAGCAAAAGCCAGACATTTGAACTCTCGCTTGGAAGCCTCAAAAACATAGAAATCTGTAGGTTCTCACATTATTTGCCAACAAAAGGAAGGAGGTTTCCCATGCATCTTTCTAGAATCTTCTAGAATCTCTTCCCATCTTGGTCATTGAGTACCAACAGGACAGGAACTAGACTCACTACTGGATTTAGGTCTCTAGAAAGAACCAGGTCATAGGTTCAGCCTTGGTGAAAGTTTGGAATTTTTGTGCTTTTAAAGTTAGTTCTTCAAGGTAAAGTGGTCTGGAAGCCTTTTTTTCCTTTTGCAACCTTTGGGGTGTAGTCACATATAATAAATAGCACACATTTAAAGTGTACAATTTGGTGTGTTGACATATGTGTACAGCTATAAGATCAGCATGTTAATAAAGATAGGACATTTTTTCATCACTCCTAAAGTTTCCTCATTCTGCCTGGTAATTCTTTCCTCCTGACTTCATCTCCAGGCAACCACTGGTTTGTTTGTCATTACAGATTGGTTTGTATTTTCTAGAATTTTACATAAATAGAATTATATAGTACATAATAAAATATAGTGCATTCGTCAGTTTCCTCAACTGAGGAACAAAATACCTAATGCCCACAATTTAAAGGAAAAGAGGTTTATTTTGCCTTATGTTCAGAGGTTTCTGTTCATGATTGGCTGGCTCCATTTTGGAAACCGTATGGCAGAAGACGATGATGCAGCAAAGCCCTTGGTTCAAAGTACCTGGGAGTAAAGCACAGGAGGCCGGTGAGAGATCCACCCTCCAAAGACATCCCCGCCTTGACCTACCTCTGCTTACGGGGTTCCACACCTAGCAGCACATTCAGCTATGAATATCAGTGGATTAATCCATTGAGGAGTGTGTCACGTTCATGATCCAGTCACCTCACCAGGAGTCTCAAGCTAGTCAAGTTGACAATTAAGATTAACTGGCACATATAGTGTATGTTTTTTATGGTCTGGCTTCTTTCACTTCAGCATCAAAATTTTGATGCACATATCAATAGCTCATTCATTTCTTTCACTCTGAGTAGAATTCCAGTATGCAAATATACCATTGTTTCTTTGTCCATTCCATGCCACTGTCCACACCATTGGCTGCACTTGGTTGGTACTATTACCAAAAGGCTGCAGCAAACATTTGCATACAAGTGTTTTGTGAACGTTTTCCATTTCCCTGGGGCAAATGCATCAAAATGAAATGACTAGGTAATAGTCACGGATTTTTTAACTGGACCCCTAGGAGCCCTGGAGTTATTGCTTAAACTGATGAAGGAATGTAGGCAAACATGTTTCAATGACCATGTCAAACATAGAGGCAGCTCCAAGAGTTTCATTAGATAGTTATGTCCTCCATCAGCTTTTCCTTGAAGAAAAATTTCCATGGTCAAGAAAAAAAGTTTGAAAATCCAATTCTCCTTTTAACTTTCCCATGCCCATTGCTTTAAAGATAAAGAAAACCAAGTTTGCCACAAGTTCATGGCCAAGGTTAGTTAGCCACATCTGAGTCCGTGCCTTTTTAGGCTGGGATTTGAGATCAGTGACCATGGCCTCTTGAAATTCATCATTTCCACTTTTTGGGGAAGGTGAACGCTGTAGGAGTAATCAGACTGGCATCAGAAAGAATCATATCCTAAGTATGTAGACATTTCCTGTAGATGCCTGTAATGTCAGATACAGCAGACAATTAAGACCAAGGGGTCAGGAGGGCACTGCCCAGGGGCTTTCCATAGGTACACAGTGGTCCAATGTGCAATCTCCTTTTTGTCTCCTGAAAACCAAGTGTTATATATCCACTTGACAAATATGGGAACTGAGACACAGAGAGATAAATGCTCAGACTCAGACAATGTGATGAGGGGGTGGTGATGTATGGGAATGTGCTCGGGTCCGTGGGCTAAAGACCTGACTTTTGGGTGTGCTACTACCAGGAAAATGTGGCCTCTGCCTCCCCTTCCTTCTTTAGCTTTGCGTATCCTTCATCCTACAAAATGTATAAAACAATACAGGGACTTTTCAGTCACTTTCCTATGAGATGATCTGAGACAAAAACTGTCAGAAACTTTTGTTGTTGTTCCAAAAAGAATTGAAAGCAACCAGCAGGCAGTCCATTGCTGAGTGGAGAATCTGCTAGTTATCTACCTCTTAAGACTGAGAAGATAATCTGAATATTTTTCAATAATTATAACTTAAAAAGATTTTTTTCCCTAAAACACACTAAAAGAATATGGAATGATCAACATAGATAATGCCATAGCTAGAGCTCATGCTGCTGGAGTGGTCCGTTAGTTTGCTATCTTCCAATCTGAATGGGGTAAATTGTATTATAATTTTCCTTTTGACCAATAATGCCACCCCAAAAATGCACCACCCAGAACGAACTACCCTCTAACCCCCTCCACCCCCCAAGCTATGCCACTGAGGTAGAATATCAGGCCAGTTTGTATGGAAGAGGAAACTAGCTACCCTTGGCTTATAGAAACCAGTTTATTCAATGAACATTTCAGTTTGATATCTACTTATTGAGTACTTACTATGTGCCAGACAAGTGCTAGAAATGTTAAGGAATGAGTTATCACTAAGCCCTGATGCCTACTCTCAAGGGGTTTACAGTTGAAGCAAGAGGAGGACAGATCATGCAGAGGCTTAAAGAGTGATGGGAGGCTTGTGGTGTGTGCATCACACAGGAGACGGTCTCGTCTTACTTCAACACAGTGGAGCACAACCTGGGAGCAGGGAGGCCGGTGAAGACGCAGTTCTCTAGTGAAACAAGAGTGAAAGAGGTTAAATGTAAAAGAGGGCAAAGCAGTGTGAAATCATAGGGGTAGCACGGTTAATTTCTTTCTTTCTTTCTTTCTTTCTTTCTTTCTTTCTTTCTTTCTTCTTTCTTTCCTTCTTTCTTTCTTTCTTTCTTTTAAAAAGGAAAACAGCAAAAAGAAGTGATATAGAACTTCAAAAAATAGTAGGAAATTAACACTAGTTAATATATTGCACATTGTTATCTTAGAAGTAGTTGTTCAGGTTATAAGATCTAGTCATAAAAAATGATCAAACAGTGACTGATAGCACAAACCATTATTTTTGATGAGCTGACAAAGATTTGTAGTATAGTTATCTATCTTGCATACATATACATACATACATACATACATTTATGTATGTGTAGCTACAAACATACAATCTTTTCCTTTCTTCCTTTTCTCCTTTCCCCTATCCCAGTTGGTTTTTTTTTTTTTTGAGCACTTTCTTATCCTTTCATTATTATAGTATCTATTGTACATTTTGATTCTTATTACTTTTTCAGTTTTTTATTTTATTTTTTACACTAGGGAGATAATACAATATTTATAAATGTGAGTTTGATTTATTTCATTTATGAGTATGGTCTCAAGTTGCCTCAATTTACCTATATAAGCCTCAAGATTATCCTTTTTATAGTTGAGTAATATTCCATTACATAAAAAAAAAATCCCACATCTTTTTTACCCATTCTGTGGTTGATGGGCACTTGGATTGTTTCCAAGGTTTAGCTATTAGAAATTTTGTTGCTATTAATATGGATGTATATATATCACTGTGGGATGACGTTTTCAGCTTTTAGGAAAATATCCGAGAGGAGAATAGCTGGATGGAATGGAACTTCCAGTCCTAGTATTTTGAGGAGCCTCCATACTGGTTTCCACAGTGGCTGCAGCAGTCTACACTCCCACCAACAGTGGAGAAGTGCTCCTTTTTCCCCACAGCCTCTCCAACATGTGTTGCAGGTTGATTTCTTGATGGCAGCCATTCTTCCTGGATGAGATGGAATCTCAGTGTTGTTTGCATGTCTCAAATGACCAGTGATGTTGGACATTTGCTTCTTTCTTCCTTTCTTCTTTTTTGTTTTTGATTTTTCATTTTGTTTTTATTAAACACTGCATAACACACTAAAATGCACGCTACATAATACACTGCTTAAACTTCCAGTGGAGTTACTGATCATAACTTGTTTTTTCAGCAGTCAGGAAAATTCTCCCTTAATAGATGTTCTCCAAACCCTTGGAGACATAATAATGATTAACTCCAGAGATGTGCCCCATCTCTTTCCACCAAACTCCACTGGTATGAAACCTGACAACTCTTTTTTCCTTGCCCCAGAAGGAGAACCTGTGGAGGTATGCATGGCCACTCTGGGAATGACCAAGCACATGCCCATGCTAGCAAGTCCAGGGAAAATCTCGAATCACATCTCAGATCGGTTAGCCAAACCTTCCGGTACTCTCAAAGGTGACTGGGCTTCAGCTTCCTTCCTGATATGTCCACATCCCCCCATGTCTTCATGTATTTATTTGCCATTGTGTTTCTTCATCTGAGAGGCATCTGTTCATCTCAGATGCCCATTTTTGGAGTGGCTCTTTGAATTTGGGGGGCCTGATGTTTTTCAATTCTTTATACATTCTAGATAGAAGTCTTTTGTCTGAGGGACAGCTGGCTAAAATTTTTTCCCATTTGTGGGTTTTCTTTTCACTTTGTTGGTGATTTCTTTTGAAGAAGCATGGTTAATTCTAACTGGAAGACTCAGATGAGGTTCTGGAAAAGGATGGTATTTAAGCTGGGCCATGAAGGGTATGTGATTTGAGTGGGCAGGGAGAAGGAAGGCATGGAAACTGGAATGGAAAAGCACTTAGGTAAACAAAGAGTCTGGCAGAGAGGCGCTTGGTGGGGAGGAGAAGATCAGGCAGGACTGCATGGCACAATACTTGGCCCCCTGAGTAACATGGTGTGCTAAGACTCTGCAAGGAATGCTCCAAGACGAGCCTCATTTAAGGCCCCCAGGAGGGATCTGGTGCTTGGCCAGGTGCCCAGGTAACACCATGCATTACCTACCTCTGAGGATTGTAGAAAACTGATTCTCACCACTTCCCATACTCAGGCCCTTCCTCCGGTCATCAGAGAGGAACAGAGCATCAAGGGCCACTAAGCTACATGCATTCCTATCTCTCTCATCTTTATTCTCAGAGAGACTAGACTACAGTGTGCAGGGGTGGGGAATTTCACTGTTGGCCCGGGGTAGTGGGCCTGGGAATGTTTCTGAGAAAGAAGGAAGATGGGCTCAGACTAAGCAGAAAGTTCAGTGTTGTTACCGGCACTCCGGCTCCATCATCACTTTTCCCACATTCCCCACCTCCACTTCCCCCACGGAGGGCCAAGGCCTGGACTCCTCAACATTAGGAAGAGCTTCATCCCTGTCCTGGTACTGGGCCCACATTACAAGGCTCTAAGGAATTTACTTCCCACACATGGTCAGCAAAGGGCTCCATGGAAAGCTTTCTAGGTTTCTCAAGTTATTGGTTTTCCCCTAAGATCCAATTCCTCCTGAGTCCTGTGAAATCTGCCAGCTAAAGCCTCTGCCCACCCAATCCAGGCCACATGCTGACCCTCTGCCTACCTTCTTCAGTCCTTCTCAGCTCTTAAATGCTCACCTGCCTAGATACAACTTGGTGAGGAGAAGAAGCACCGCCTCCTCCTGCAGCTTCCTCCTAACCCCAAGGTTTCTATTCATAACCCAGGAGGCAGAACATTTGTTCTTGCAGAGTGTAGCGTGATATGAGAGGAACCAGATTCTTTTCTCAACTATCCAAAACGTCATCTGTAAATGGAAATAGTAATCACTTACTTCACAGGACTAGGACCAAATGGAAATGTACTGTAAGGGAAGTTGTCAGTTCCATCCACAGAGCAGATAAGGAAAATCATCTGATGGTTTCTCATTTTATTTTCCTTTAACTCAACTCTGACTCCCAGTTTCTATTCTACATGTCCAAAATTGGAAACAGTATTGCTCCTAACTTTACAAACAACAAAACACTGCAAGTTTGCAACTTTAATAAAACGCATCAAAGACCTGAGGTTATAGGCAACTATCTTAAAATCTAAGAAACAGAAGCCTACAACAGGGAGAGATGAGACTGCATACTGGCTTCCTGTGGCAGACACAGCAGCACACCAGTCAGAATTCAGCTGGAGCACTTAATGAATTGATAGGGATGGAGTGTGGGGTTGAAAAAGAGTGTGAGGTACACAGGGGAAGTTTGTATCCTCTCCTGCCTTCTCCACAGACCTCCAAGTTGGAAAGAATACTGAGAAAGCAGCCCGTATGACACAGGCATGGGTGGAGGGACAGTACCACCACATGAGAGACAAAAGTCAACCTTCCCCCCAGGGTATCTCTCCCCAGTGCTGGCTATCTAGTAAAATGCTTAATCTGTAGTGGAAATGATGTAGCCATTGAGACATTGAAAAAAAAAACAAAACCCTTCAGAGCTAAAGTAAAGGAAGAAAGAAAAACCTTCTACCCTGAGAGAAAGGAAGAAATATGATCCAAGCCCAAAATTACACCAGGTCCACACCACAGTAACAAACAGAACAGAACAGCATCAACAAAACTAGGTTCAACATAGATAACAGGGCATTTTTTTTTCCTGACAGGGAATTTTGAACACCTATGATTCTTATGTTAAAGGCCCTAATGCAAAATATTGACTATATGTGAGATCAGCAAAAATATAAAAATTATAAGAAAGAGCCAAATTGAAACACTAACAGTGAAAATATAGTAACAGAAATAAAGAATATTTTAATGGGCTTATTAGTAGACTTGATAAAGCTGAAGAAATAATTGTTGAACTTAAAAATATATTTATGAAAATTAGGCAAACATGAATATAAAAAATATCCAAGATCTGTGATACAATATCAATGCTCTAACATCATATATTTAAAGTCCAAGAAATAAAAGAAAAAGAATAGAAGAATAGCAGCTGAGAGATTTCCAAAATTAATGACAGATACCAAACCACAGAGCCAAATATCTCAGAGGACACTAAGATAAACATCAACAGAGAAAAGGATATACACTTAGGCACATCGTGTTAAAATTGTTGAAAACAAACCAAAGGAGCATCTTGAAAGCAAAAGTATCCAGGCATGGCCATGCATGCCTGTAATCCCAGCACTCAGGAGACTGAAACACAAGGATAACCATAAATTTGAGGCCAGCCTGGGCCACATAGTGAATTTAAGGCCAGCCTGAACTGCATAGTGAAATCTTATCTCAAAAAAACAAAAGTAACTCCATGAGCCAGCAGCAGTCAAGGGCCAGAAAGAGAACCGAGGAATCAACCCATGCCCTCCCATACGCCAGCAGCAGCCATGTAGACTGGGAAGAGAACCAAGAAAGCCCACCTATGACCTCCCAAGAGCTAGAGGCAACTGTGTAGGCCAGGAACCAAAAAGCCCCATATCTTTCTATGAGCCACAAGTAGCTATGTAGACTAGGAGGAGAATCAAGAAGCCAAGCTGTGCCCTCTTGTGAGCCAGCTAGCACATGGACCAGGAGACAAGAAGAGCAAGACACCTCTGCCCAAAGCAACTGGCTGATTTAGAGGAGCATAGGCTGGGTGACAGCAACTGAAATAAACAAAACAAAACAAAAACTTAATGCTTGCATTATTTGATTGACTTTGCAGGCCTAAAGCTGGTCTTCTGAGCATCTATTTAGAGGATAACAATATGCAATATAGCAATTATGGGGGATTCCCTTCTGCCTTGCTTTTGAAATCCAACATCATTCTCACTGTTCTGTTTTGTTCCATTTTATTGGCTTACTTTATTCCCTTTAAAATAAATCTTTTTTAAAAGGAGAAATTCTTTCCCAGACGAACAAAAAGTAAAAAAATCATTGCCAGCACACTTTTAGTACAAGTGCAAAAAATATTAAAAGAAGGCACAGAAATATTATACCAAACTGAAATCTTGAAATGTAGAGTTACACAAAGAAATGTAGAGTTAAATGATATTAAAAATAAAATTCTTATTCAAAGCCACAAAACTAAAATATGAACGTTCAAAATGATAAGAGTGTTCATCTATTTGGTATATAGCAGAGGCTGGCATTCAGTCAGCTTCCATTGCTCCTACTAGGCCCAGCTTCTACAGAGTCCTGAACCAGCAACCTGAGGGCCTGGACCAACCTGATTGTGTGGCACCATCCAATGGGCTTGCATAGATTTAAAGGCGAAGAAAGAGGAAGTCTGAATTTTTGGAAGCTCCATTCTGCTTCCATTATTCATTTTACTTCTATTATCTGGGGAAAGAAGGATGTCTCCAGCTCCAAGGAACTTAAACTGGATTAAGAGTCCAGTGAAACTCTGGAATGTACTGAATATCTCTAATTAGCTCATCTGGAATTCTACTTATACTCCTAAGCCAATCATTGCCGGAAGGGTGGGAGGGTAAGTAATTCTTCTGGGCCATGTGTGTGTCATGGGTCAACTTGGATACCAAGGGAAGACCCACCCAAACAGCAGAGTCTAGACACTGAAGAGCGGTGCCATTACCAGAAGAGGTGGGGATATATATCTGCACAAAAGGATCCATCCTAAACATTATTCACTGAACAATACAGCTTCAACACACAATAGAGCTGGTATAATTAAAGGAAAAATAAATTCATAATTAGTTGGAAATCCTACCACTTTGTTTTGTCTTCTCTGCAGCTTTGGAAGACTGTAATATAATTAATTTTCCTTTATCTCCTTGAAAACGTAGGAGACTAATAGTTCTTTGTTCTCCAAGAAGGTAAATTAACTTTTCCATTACTAATTATTCTGACTTAGAATTTAATGGACTGCCAGAGATCACAAATTATAATTTGAGTCTAGGAGACATCCACGATTGTCCTTGCTTTGCCCTTCGGGCCAGATTGGAAACTCCCTGTTCTTTTCTGGTCACAGATAGAAGCCCGAGGGCAGATGACTGCTGTGGTGCTGACAGCCTGAGAGATAAGACCTGCTGGAGACAATAAGGTACTGGGGGAAACTACAGTTTCTTCCTTGCCCCCGTCTCATCCATGTCCTTGCAAGAATGCTTTGTTCTTCTTATTAGCCCACCTTAGTCACCACTGCTGTTCCCAGAAACACCCACTGTCTTCACCTCTTGGCCTTGACTCAAATGTAATAAATTAATACCCAAGTTCTGAGTGCTTCATGACCTTTTGCTCAGTAAGAACAACTGGTCATTCCAGATCACTACCTGCACCCCTAAATTGTTTCTTGCTCTTTCTTCCCACCATGCACTATAACACTTGGCAAGAGACTGAGGACCCACTGCTGATAACAGGCACCATGGAAAAGCCCATAATGGGCCATGGAGAATGCTTGCTTGTTAAAGAAAAAGGGAAACAAGAAA